CGATTTAATTGTAAAAGGAAACGGAGTTGAAAAACAATTTACAACAAATATCTAACTTCATATTAGATTCGCAGATATGGACTATGAGCAATATTTATGTCGCATCGTCCTTGGCAATTCAGTGATGCAAAGTCGAAAGGTTTTTGTCGTGGATACTGATTTGTTATCTTGTGGCAATGACGATATACACTGTGATCTCACATTAAAATTGTGCGAATCTTGACAGCATGTTGAAGTGGTGATGGAACCTATACGAGTGTCTGTATTGCTAAAATGGCGTCTACAATGAACTGCAAGAATTAACGGTCATGAATAAGGATCCAGTGTATATTGTTCTCGAAGAAACTTGAAGAAGGCAACGCTAGATCGTGACATTTCATGCGAGGCAAAACATTTGTTCATTTCAATAAACTTTTAAGGCTGAATAACATAACATTTCATATACTATATCGCACAAGATGAGCAGCCAGTAGGTTCACACGTTTCAGTGATTCAGATGCCGCATTGAGCCGCAAAACCCAGCAAAATCGTTCACGAATTACTCTCTATTGTCTCTTGATCAGAAATGTGAATATAAAACCTAGTATAATATTCATAGGTAGTCTATTATCTCATAGTGACACGTGGAGTTTCTTCAGCAGATGAAATTTATAAACAACCTCTTAATTTCTACTTGCACAAAACCTGAAGAAAGAAGAGGTAGAATATCGCTAATTGCTGGCACGAAGACAGTTGCTTGATTCGTCTGTACACTATCAGCCATTTTACACGTGAAGTTACCGACGGAAACATTCTGGATTCTGGCATTAAAACCGACTTGCGTACTTTTCCCAACTGCTACTAGGCATAACAGTGAACCGAGACATGCGTGTCATTCTTAACAATATTAAACCATTAAATCTGTTCAGGTTCATTGTGAGTTTGCTCCCAATTGACGATACACCACATTGTTTGATATAGTAAGAGCATCTTCTAACATTTGTATATCAGAATTTATGTTCATGGCATGTTTAGTCAATGTAGTGGCACATGAAAGACACTAATTCATAACAAGATTCTAAAGCATTTTTATCTAGTTAGAAAAATATAGAAACTTGGAAAGTATGTTTACTGATAGTACTACTGTCTGACACTCTTTTCGCTACTCACGCATTCGTGTTCACTAAAAAACTTTTGTATTAGAATAGTTTCAAATATATTTGAAATGAACGTTATTGTTTACAAATTCCCCATATACATGAGTATTTACTTTACCCCATGCCTTTTTGTGTTCATCTTGTAAACGTTTTCCAACAAAAAATTAAAAAAAAACGTTTTAAGCGTGTTTGTTAGGCTAAATGATTTGTAATAAGTGATTTTTTAAGTTATGCGTTGAATTAGAAGTATGGCGGAAAACGATTGTACGAGTATGGCGTGTCATGTAACATGTGTTTAATATGATTGATAGACGGACTTGGGATGAGAGGCACGGAAGTCGGTTTGAACGCCGCCATCCATCGTCATGTGAGTGCTGTTGAGCATTCGGTTGGTACATGAAATTCCGTAGAAGTGTTGAGGCGGGCTGGGTTTCTCTTCAGATCCTATTTTGTCATTAAATGCATTAAACTCTTTCCTATTTGTTAAAAACAAAATGTGAAATATGATTTGTATTAATAAGGGAAAAACATTTTTTTCAACTATCAAAGAAAATATTCATTCTTTTGGACCGTTAATACTAAAATAGTCTCGTTTGTGAAGAAATTTCTGGACAAACCTTCTAAAATATTTCTATAGTTAAAAATGGAATGTCCTGAGACTAGCAAGCAGGAAACCCAAAGTCCAAACGCTAATTGCCGTGAACCAAATGCCATAGTGGAGAGCTTGCCCCTCTTTCTATACATTTACTGCGCAGTAAGGAACCTTCATGGAGGGGTTTGTTTCGTGAGGCGCAGCGAAGCGTCCTCTTCCGTCCCCCGGCTTCCCTTCGCTCGCCCCCCGTCAACTAGGAGGCGAGTGAGTGCGCAGGTGAGACAGCGATTGGGAACATGCAATGTCCAACTGACAGACGTTACAGGTGACTGCCCCGCGGCATTTGATGGAAGTGCTGGTATGCAGAAACTGTCAGTTAATTTTAGCGCTTCAAATGACTCCTCAATTTAGAAAAAACAAAAACAACAAACAAAAAAACAACGCAGTGAGGTATTAACCTCACTGACAATTTGATTAATTTCCTGTGCAAGGTTTCTCCTGCCCTAATAGGATTCGCAAGGCGTCTTTAAGCCCTCCTGGAACTTTGAGCGCTTGGAGTAGTCCTTTTTAAGTCAGTTGCAGTCAGTCATTTTCAGTCATTGTCTTTGATCCCTTTGGCCAGAGGTTAGGCGCTGCTAGATCCCGGGGTACCTAGGCGGTCCCACAACCAGAAACCCCCGATGTCTCGAATTCGTTTAACCTCCGTGACTTCACGGAGCGTAGTTAAGGAATTGGGCTAGCGACGCCGGCTGACCTGAAGGGGATCGACGTAGAATCTGAAGAGCAACGCAGGCGCGTGCGCAGTGTGTGCGCAGCGCGTGCTGGGCGTGCGGCGTGGAGTTGGTGGGCGGCGTTGGGGCGTCGGCGCGGGCGTCGGCGGCGTTGAAGGCACAGCGCGCGGGCGAAGGCGGGGGCGTGGCGGTGGGCGGGGCGGCCGCTCACATGGTGTTCTGCTTGCGGCGCCGCGAGTCCGGCTGCTCGAAGGAGCGCCTGGCGCGGCGCCCGGCCTCTGACGACGACAGCAGCCCGGCGGCGGCGGCGGCGGGCGGTGGACGGGGCGAGGGCGCGGGCGAGGGCGAGGGCGAGGCCGAGGAAGAGGAGGAAGGCGAGAGGGCAAGGGCGGGGGCCGAGGCGAGCGGCCGCCCGCGTGACCGCCGCGACGCCCGTGTCCCGTCCTCGCCCCTGCTCTCGTCTTGGCCGCCCTCGCGCCCGCTGTCCTCGCTGCCGTGCCGACGGCAGAAGCTGCCGCCGCGCGACGCGGACGGCCCGTCCTCGCCGTCCTCGCTGCTCCACCTGCGATAAGCGCAAGCATAAAGACAGCTCTTCCCAACTCCACAACCGAAATATATTATGCGTCTTAAATATTCTCACCAAATGTCATATTTGAGGAATTATTTTGCAAGCGATTTCCCGTTGAAAAAGAATGTTCCCAAGAGAACTCAACTTCCTTGCGGGAAATCCACCCAGCAGTGAGAAAAGGATACAACATTTTTTTTGTTTCACACATTGATTAGTTTTAATTTCTATATTTTTATTTGTATACAGTTTGAAATATAACATAAAAATAATATTTTTTTATTTCAATTTATACTTGCACTACTTTTTACTCTAAATGCTTTTAAACTCGAAATTAACATTTAAAACATTAATTTTTAAAAGCCATATAATTATTTTTTGGTATTGAAATAAATTCACAATCATGATGTAGTTTTGATACACACTTAACTGTTTGAAAATGCGTTAAATTTCGTTAATCAGCAAAGTAGGTCATGGATTTTAACCCTCGTCCCCTTAATTAGTTTTAATTTCTTTATTCTCATTTATATACAGTTTGAAAATATAACATCAAAACAACAATTTAATGCAATTTGTAAATGTACAACTTTTTTAAATCAAATGGTTCGAATTTCATCCCAAAGTTTACGTTTAAAATATTTAATTATAAAAACTCGATGAATATTTTTGGTATTGAAATAAATTCATGAATCTTATGCAATTTTGGAACATTTAATTTATTAAAATATTTTTCATTCCGTTTGTCCCCAAAGCGTGTCATTGACGTCAAATCCCAACCCTTAGAAAAAAAAAGTTCCTGGCCCTGTCGCTTTGGCTTGTGAATGCGTCATGACAAGTGGGGGGGGGGGAGCATCGCGTGTCGGGGTCTCCACGGCGCTCAACAAGTCGCCGCCACACAGAGGCTCCAGCGGCCGAGAGCGTAATTTGTGAGCACAAGGAAGAGAGTGCTCGCGCTCGAGGCGCATTCTGTCAACAGGAAGGGAAAGGCGCGGGAACAAGAGCGGCTGGCTGCGCGTGAGAGGCAGTTAGTGCTAATAGAGCACGCAGGAGATTCAGTAACGCGTCCGCACGGGTGTATGCTACTTGTGCGAAAGAAATATTAGGAGCTTAACGATGGGTAATATTTTTCTCAAATTGCCTTGTACACTCGTTGAAAAAAAATTCAGAGGAGTCGAAAAGCGAAAAATCTAAATTATTTACGTATTCGGGATTTTAAAATTTTCGAAACACTTGGACTTTTCTAAATAAAATGATACACATCATTGTAAGATAATCCTCTAATATACATTTTATTATTTTCTTACTTCATCTGCATATGTTAAAATGACAGTCATTTTGATTATGAATCTCTCATTTACGTTATATCTCTTGAAGTAATTCATCTAAAACACAGTGATTTTCATTAAATGCAAGATATTAGTTATTTAGCTTACAGGATGTAAAAGTTACATTTTATTTTGCTAATAGTAAATGTTTCGATACGATACGAGGTCGATCTACTGACTCGGGAATGCCGCGATGTGACATGTCGAAATATGTTCTAATCCTTCGTTTCATCGGAAGACCATGCCGTATTAATCTCACGATCAAACTTTTGGGTGCCGATACACACTATAAGTCAAATAAAAGAAACTGAGTTTGAAAATTGACCCTATGCTTTCAGCGATGTAAAAAGGCCCAACCCCGCAAAGCAAATGTTTCCCTCACTTGATCCTGCCCAAAGGATCGACGCGCCATAAGCCCAACTGGTGGCAAGCCGGCAATCAGAAACTTAGCATCGCCTACTCACTGCCTCCACCTTCAGACTAATAACGTGAGTGCCGCCGTGAAACTTAGGATCCGGGTGGTCATCTACAAAAGTCTCCACCAGAAGCCGTGTTCACCTACACAGTCACGATCCCCAGGGCGGAGAGTGTAATGTCTAGTGACTCACCCTTGTGAAGGCCTGGAGGAGGGAGAGTGCAATGTCTAGTGACTCACCCTTGTGAAGGCCTGGAGGATGAGGAGCGGCCGGTGCGCCGTTCGACGGACGTGAGCCGCTTCTTGACCTTGCACTGGTGGCTGCAAAACTCGCCAAGCAGGCGCGCCAAGCGCTTGTTCACGTGCTCCACCGAGGTCTCTGTACAAAACACATTCACGCTCACCAGGCGAACTCTTATTTCCTTGCCATTTGAAGCAGACAGAGGGCACCATTTCACCTTGATAAGCTCTTTATAAGCAAATTTGTTCTTAGAGGGTTAGCAATTTCCCTATGTACCATTTTTCATGCCAATATGCGGCTGCTTCTAAACTTATTTTGTTGTGAATATGAAGGGATCGATGTTGTGTGCGTCACCGGAGAGCAGGTAGACAGCTGATGACGTCACTACGGGAGATCAGAGGAGATGGAGAGAAAGTATCTACGATCTCTCTGCATCTCCCCTGAACTATCTAGTCTCCCTCCAATCTCTTTGAGGTTGAAAAGTTGAAAGGAGAAGAGGACATAAAAAGCATAAGATGTTGAAGAAAGAGACAGAGGTGAGTGATAAAGGAAATAGAGGGCGAGTAAGAGGAAGAGTAGAAAGGTAGAAAGGGAGTGAATAGTAAGAGGGGAAAAGGTGAAGTTGGAGGAAGATGAAAGTTGATGGGGAAGACAGCAGAGAGAGAGAGAAGAGAGCAGGAGATGGAGAGAGTAGAGAAAATAAAGAGAGGAAATAGAATAGTGAGGAGAAAAAGAGTTGTGAGAACAAAGAAAGTGGTGAGAAAAGAGAAGAGAGAGCCGAGAGAGAAGAGAAAAGAGAGAAGAAAAGAGGAGAGGAGAAGAGCGGTGAGGAATAGGAAAAAGCCGACTCACCGAGGCGCGCCACCTTGAGCGCCAAGGGCTCGTTGCATCGCTCCGCCCTCTCGTACGCCTCCTCGTCCAGCAGCCCGTCCTTGCGGAGCAGCGCGCAGCCCCTCTCCACCAGCGACATGCGCGCCTCCGGGTACTCCTTTAGCACTTCCCACAGGTCGCGCTTGTCCAGGCAGAACAGGTCCGAGTAGCCCAGCGAGCACACGGTGGCGGTGCGCCGGTTGCCTGTGCGGTTGCCCGCGATCTCCAGCACCGACACCTGCCGCACACACACCCAAACGTGCTCGCTGGCATTCCATGTCAATTCTCTGCTCCCCCTACACACATACATTCTCTCACATGCACGGTGACACTCCATTTAGCTACTCAGCACCTCTCTCTCTCACTCACTCACACACACACGCACGCACGCTACTCCCTCGATTTCCCTCGCCCTTCAGAAGCTTACACACGCACACACAATTATACACCCTTTACCCATCTCTCTCTCTCTCTCTTTCTCTCTCTCTTTCTCTCTCTTTCTATGATTCACACGTGCAACCCTGACACTCTCTGACATTGCCTCTCGCTCCTCAACATCCCACATGAGATAATCCTTTTGTTAATCTTCATCTCAGTTAGAAAGTTAAATCAGTTCTGACCATTTTCCTTAGTAGTTCAGAATTTTTATTATCAATATTGTACATGCTTGTCCATCTTGTAGAACTGTCATTATGGACCTCTAGTCGTATTGCCTCTGTTGGAAGAGAGAGTCGAAGGTATCCCGCAACGGCCTCTCAGGTCATTTAGGGGTTTTCATTTTATTTTTACTTTTCCAATCGGTTTCTTAATCCATTCCATCATTTTCTGGACGTAAGAATGAACAGGATTCTAGGCGAGAGGGAAGTTAACTTGTCTAGAAGGAACGTAACTCCGAAGAAACCTCCGGTCCTCCAGGTTGGGCGATTTGAATGTACATCCAGCATCCCTAAGTCAGTATAAAAAATACTTGATAACTAATTGCCCCACTAATAATATAAACGGAAATCTCGGGATATATGGCAAAAGTAAACGATTGATGAATACAGGAACATGGAACGTACGACGTCTGGATTTGAAACGGTGTTCGGAAGCTATTGGGGAGGGAATTTGCAGTCCTGTCTCTAGTCCCCTAACGAAAAATGGTCAAGGGATAGAGAAAATGAAGAATTACATTCATATTCAGTGGTTTATTCAAAGAAAGGAGTTGCAATTGCTGTATCAAATATAAGGAAATGGTATTAAGTTATGAATAACCATCAATGAGAATATTTTAACATTATATTTCAAAATAAAAGAGTATAGATTAAAAGAAATGGAAGAACAAAGATGATTTTTACAAACGCTTCAAAAGACGATGCTCCTGAAACAGAAAGGCCAACATATTTAATCAGGTGACGAGTTTTTTTTGTTGGAATTGCAAACAGGAAAGATGTAGTTTTATTTGGTGATTTTTAGTGTAGGAAGTGAAGATGCTCGGTTTCCATCCAATTTCAACTCATGAACGTGGGTATAACAGTCCAAAACTACAAAAACTGCAAATCCTAAGTAGAAAAATAAACGAAAAGGTACGGCAACTACATTCCTTGTCACGGAACAAAATTCTGGGGAAGTGTTGAGCAAATATTGTATAAGCGTAAAACCAGGGCTTGATTTGTGGCAGAACGCGATGGAACGGCGTTCTGGAACCTCGATATCAAATTCGTAAAGAAACAAACAAAAAGCAAAGGACAAACACTTAGAAACTTCAATTTCTATTTTGACCACCTTTTGTAAATTAAATAGTTTTCCACTAAAGTGTATCATTTCTACGCACGTACAAATTTAGTAAAGAACGATGAAATATCGTTATTAAATCTTTTATATTTCTTATTATTATCATCACTACATTCATATAGAGCCAGTAATTATTGTTATTAAATGCTAACAGTTTTAAGTACTATTGCTAATTGTTATTAATTGTTATTTATATTTATTATGTTGTATTAGAAATGTATAACTATTTCTATTAAACTAATAATTAATATTTTCATTAATTTCTATTAATTATTACAATAACTACAACTACATGTGGTTGACACGCCCTTTTTATTAGTGCCTCAACTCCTGTAGACTCTTGGCCCAACCTTGTTATCAGTGGCGGAACTTGATAGCGAAGCCGGTGGCGCTTCGCCAGGAGGGCGGGCGGTGGCAGAGGGCCAAGGTGCCGGGTTCGACGATCGATGTCGCACCCGCCTCCCCCTTCCGCAGTGGCTCAGGGCGCCTTGGAGCGTGGATTTGGCGTTGACGGGTCGCCATGTTTCTTTTATCAGCATCGAATAACGAATAGGGAGCGCTTGCTTCGGGGAAAAGATTTCTGAACGTGCCTAGGTAGAAGACTGCGGGAGGAAAATATCTTTCGGGGAATTGAAAAGTAAAATAAGACAGCTTCTGTTCTGGATTGCATTCTGATTTCATAAGTTCGTAGGATTAAGAATTGTTGTTTTCTACATGAACATTCAAAAGGAATCACAAGTGAATCTAGAATATCTGTAATGTTAAGAATCTGTGGAGTTTCCTCAGTTTTCATTTTAAGGTAGTTAATTCAAAAAAAAATCAGACGTAATTGCCAAAAAAATAAAAATTCAAAACTTGAATAAATCCACACAAATATCAATTTCTAATCTCAAATATCCCAAATTAACGAAGGCACAATGCCTAAGGTGCGTCGACATGCAAACAGGGCGCTGCTGGATTGAAACTATAGTGAGTTGAACAGAATAATAAAACAAAGATGTTTCATCTTTTCCCATTTTCCTTGTGCCGAATGACGAAGAAGTACCTTAACACACGGCCCACGGACCGCGCGCAATATTTCCTTGCTCTTCCTTGTCCTAGCCTCGCCCCATGAACACACATTTACATGCACTACACTTAGCCGGGACACCGTCAGGATCTAAAGAGGTTGAACAAGCGTGGGCGATGGGAGATACTTGGTTGGGGAAAGCTCCGCAAGCTGAAACTGGTAAGAGATACTTGGTTAGGGAAAGCTCCGCAAGCCGACGGTTAGGGCTGTGTAGGAACTCACCATCCAGTGGGTGAAGATCACCGTCCCCTCCCGCGATAAAACATGCACCACACTTAAGAGACTAATGACTTTAGTAACTGACGCGCCTGGAATCGCTAATCAATCAGCCGTAATTTCTAGCAATGAAGGAGACTCACCTCCCCGAAGACGCTCCCGGGCCCCAGCGTCGCGAGCACCGTCTTGCCGTCGTCCGCCACCACCGACAGTCGGCCGCGCTTCACGATGTACATCTCCTTGCCCACGTCGCCCTTGCGGCAGATGTAGTCGCCGGGGCTGAACACCTGCAACCATTCATGCATGTCCTTTAACCCTCTACTTGCCAAAGGGAAACATTGTGATATCGCCAAATAAAATATTATTGTCCTACTCTTCTGGAATTTACAGTATCATTCATCAGTCTTTTGTTTACATTCCCTCCAAGAAGAAAAAATATGTTGTACACGTTAATGTGCTTAAACAGAATGCATTCTTCATGGGGGGGAACTCCGGCAATACACAGGCACGTCCAGACTAGCCCGTGATGTATAAAATTGAATAATTCGTTTACTTGAAAACAATAAGAGGGTAGTAATTCTATTATTGTTTACGTTTTACATTTATTAATAAAAGAAACTTATAATGCAGTGGTTACTGTAAGAAAGATCATCTCTGAAATTACATTGCATTTTAATCAAATAATATTCATTTAGAAATTTTAGATTTTAAAAATTATTAACATTCATTCAAGAAATTGAATATCATGAAGAATAAATTGCACAACGACAATAAGTGTTTGTAATATTAGAAAGAATAGAATGGGGATCTCAAATATTTCCAAGCGACTACTAAAGGCACGAAATAACACGCGACTTCAGGAGGATAAGAAACATGTGTCGAATGCTGAAGAAGAACTCTTCTTGATCTCCGAAATTACTACCACGTATTTTATAATATTTGTTACTTTCATTACGAGTATTCGAATAAAGTTTTCGTCAACTCAATTCCAAACTTTTTGCTCCTATCTAATGGAAACAATTTACATCACTAAACAAGCTGCACATTTTATTGGTGGTACTGCTGACGAAAGATCTAAATCCAATCTCTTATTTTACAAAAAGAGAACTTAATAAAACGTACACAGATTGTAACTTTATTTGGTGCACATAATTAAATCGAGGGGTAATCTCATCATTTAGTCAACGAATCTACAAAACTGGATGAACAACCTAATCGAGATGGCCGTTATTAACGCAGTAGATGAAATATAGTTACAGACATTTTTAATTAGTCTGAGCTGCAGCTAGACGCCCAGCTCCTCCAACACCCCGACTCATGTTATTCCTCAATTGTTAACATTTCCTCCTACGGCATCAAGCAGCAGAGGGTTAGTAAGAGGAGAGGATAAGTCCCGAAGACGAAGTTTCGGATCACATCGAAGACCATCTCGCCCAGAAGTTTCGACTCACATTGTCCTCGTTCGTTAACGCTAGCTTATCCTAAGGGGTCAGCACCAGTGGGCAAATAGGAAGGGCGAATCTCACCTGAAGGCGCAGCTTGAGCACCAGCTCCTCCAGCAGCCCCGGCTCGCAGTCTCGGAAGATGCACACCTCGCGCAGCGTGTCCAGGTGCACGTGGATGGCGATCTCCGCCTTGAGCTTGTCGGGCAGCGCGGAGAGGGCGCGCTCCTCGTCCAGCGCCTGCTGGTTGGCCCACGTGTACGTGAACCACCTGCCACAGACACACACACACACGTCGCGCCGCTTATCAGGATTATGCAGTCCTCCGGGGATGTTCTTGGATAATTGGTTTCCTAATACGTGAACTACTGAGATCTTAAGAGTCCCTTAAGTGTAGAGCAATCCTCCGGGGGATGTTGGAAGGTGGAGTATCAAGACAACTTGCGCGTATAGTATAGCCGCCGGCGTGAATCCACGTCAGCCGGGACGAGCCGTAGCTCCCGACTGGTCTCCTGATATCTGCAGTAGTGTAATTCATGTGTATGTGAAGGGAGAGGAGGGGGATGATGAAAAAGACGAGAAAGAAAGTGCGGTGTGTAGTCGGTTTATTAAGGTACTGGTTCTTATTTGTATAAATAGGTAATTGTTAAGATTACCAGTTATTTATATTTCTTTGCTGCAGATACTGAGAGAAAAGGAAAATAGACTTCATTAATTGTCGTACTAATTGACACACAAGTTCTGTTAACCTTCACAAATAGATAGGAATTTTTCAATGCATTATTAAACTTTGTAACACCATAAATGTGGAGCTGCCTTGCTTTAAATTAGGCTTGATGACAGTACCATCGAAATGCTTGCGCCGTTTGCTTGCATCGTACCTGATGACATGCGCCTCCAGCTCCGGCGAGACGCGCCGGAAGGACATGTACTGCTTGACGTCGTCCATGCGGTTGCGGAAGTTGACGCGGCTGACGTTCATGTTGGAGATCATGGAGCCGATGTTGCCGACGATGGTGGCGAAGATGAGCACGCCGGCCAGGAAGTCGGCCACCACGAAGGCGTACTCGGCGTCGTTCTCCGGCTGCGGCGTCTCGCCTGCGCACGCGCCTCGTGACAGGGCAGCGGGGGCGCGAGGCAGGAGGCGAGGGCGAGGGTAAAGACAAGGGCAACGAAGGAGAGAGGAAGGGAAAGGCAAAGTCGAGGAGTGGGAGGGGGACGGGAGTGTGAGGAGGGAGAGGGAAAGGATAGGACGAGGGTGATGAGGGGGAGGAAAATGGGAAAAGGAGTATGTGGGTGATGGCGAGGACGAGGAGGAGGGGCAGGGGAACGAGGAAAAGGGGCGGACTGGCGTGGGGAAGGAGAGGTGGCGGACGGGCGTGAGTGAGGTGAGGGCGAGAGCATAATGATGATTTGTGGTGATAAAATTCCAAAGAAAATAACAATTTGAAAGGTCCTTGCTTGCAAATATTAATTTCAGATGTTACAAATCTTCTGAAAAAGAAAATTTATACAAGAAGCGTTTAGAGATTGCAATTGTCAATGGTGTAATAATTGGAAACTGAAAGTTTAATATTGACACATATAGTTTTCGTTTGTAGTATTGCCTGGGGCTGTACAACTGAGGTATGTAATAGAGTAGGGCATTACTTCATCATTCTTTGTTAGATGCACAACATAAGATAAAACGTATTTTATACCTCCCCCAAAATGCACAAAAAGCACATTAAAGAAAACGTCACATCAAAACAGTTTGTTTCCAAATATGGAAACAGAATTGTTGCGAGATTATTAACAGAATGTTTTCTAAATATATAGTTTCCCACAGATGCAGATCCAAGGGTTCATGCTTTTAACATAAAAGTTTGCAAATGATCTCCATTTATTTTTGTTCACAAGTATACTTTTCCGTCATTATTTTTAACGACCTTACAGGGATTTTTTCTTTCAAGAAATATTGAATAATTTTTTCTCCACACGCATTACAATTTAATTAGTGCATGTGCAAATTATTATTCAATACATTTCATATTCAATGTACTTCCAATAAAAGTAGTAATGAAAATGAAATAGTGTGTTTATAAAACGCTGTTCAAATAGTAAGGCGTATGGATAAAATGTATTAGTGTTAGGAAGATATAGAAACCAGATACAGTATTAAAAAAGAAGGAATTTAAAAAAAATCGCCACTCTCTTCCGATTTCTATTTTATTTTTGGCAAATGCGAATGTAAATCGTGTTCTTGTGATCGTAGATAAATATGTTTTCACGTGGTATTCGATTGCGAATTATCATTTAATTTGTCGGCACCTGCGTAGATGTCTAAAATATTGCGATTCCAGTTATACGTACAGCGATATAAGGTTTCAACAATTACAAAACAGCCTAGGGTGAACATTTTCTGGGTGCAAAAAATTCTATTGGTCGATTTCCTATCATTTCTTGTCATTTTGGCTAAGTTCCTTGTGATATCATAAGGGCTAGCGCACTGACCTGCTCGTTGATTGAAAAACATACAAACGATTTCAAAGAAAAATTATACAAAATAATGGTCCGTAAAAGTCACAAAAAATCAGGGAATGTATTAATTTTTCGGAATTGTAGAAACCAATGATTGAATCAACCCAGCACTTACAAATGCCCTTAACATAATTATGCAGAATGAAAATCGTATCAGGGTGGTGATATATGCATTCATAGAGAGATCGCGAGGAACGTTTCACCCACCCTCAGCAAGTGTGTCTAAATTATGTAAGAGGAGTGATATGTGCGAAATATTGTGAGAACGACAAGTGTTTACGGAGGTTCAGTATTTCGTGGAAGCCAAAGTGTTCTACACAAAATTATAAAAACCAACAATAGGGCGTGCGTTAATCGGCATATGATGGAATGTGAGAAAAGCTGGAGATTGTATTTGACATTTTAAACCCACGAAGAACCGCACAAGGCGTTATGCGTGCAACCCTCGGAATGTGATCATGGCGACCGAGTGCCGCCTTGGCAGCGTGCAAAAGCCAAAGAGGTTAGTTGCTGGCGCTGGCCGCAAAGACCGGGGTCAGACGGACCCCGTTACCTGCGGCGGAGCACGAGCACCGCCCGCGCGACTGGACTGACCGAGGCCGGGGCAAGGGTCGGGCGGGCCGCACACGACGCCGTCCTCTTGGTCCATGTCGGAGGGCCCTGCGAGACCTGGTGGGGCACGCGCAACACGTCACTCCATGGGGCAGCGGGGAGCCTCCGGCTGCGTGCGAAAGGCGAGGGCCCAACCAACAGAGTGCAGAGTTAGTGCACCCGCAGCCGCAGTAGTCAAAGGAAGCGGAAGTTTTAGTGAAAGAGTTGGCGAGAACACCGGCCGCAGATGCTGGGGGAGTGCAGCGCGTGGAAGAGAGGCTGAAGAGACAGAGAAGGAAGTCGCTTGGCCTATCGCTGTGTTAGTAAACCCGCCGCCTTACTAGTCAAAAGATGTGGAGTTTTAGTGAAAGAGCTTGTGAGATCAATGGTCATAGTTTGTGGGGGAGTGCAGGGCGTGGAATAGCAAGGCTGAAGAGAGAGAAAATTCCCTTTGGCCAGTCAGCTTCAGCGCTCCGTAAAGAGATATGAGATTGAATCCTATGCTGTTGTTCAAGAAGAGACGACAGATGCAAAGCCAAGCCAAGACGTTAGTAGAAGCTTTCCCGATCAAGATGACAGTTTCCATGATGAGTGCAAGCTTACAAAAAAAATTTAGTGATAGTTGATAAAAGGGATTAAGATGTAGAAGAATGAAAAAAGAACAGCGTCACGTATGTGTAAACATTTTCATACTTTATGGCCTACTATGTTCTTACGCAGTTAAGACAAACTATTGTAATGCTTTTGCGTAAAGTGGGGATTTCTCAACTGAAAGGTTGGGTGCCTGATATAAAAATGTGGATAATTCTTGCTTCTAAGTGTTGTAAAATACTTCTTCTAATATTTTTAGTTGCACATTTTATAGTTGCCTTGATGTCTAAAGATTAGTTTACGGCAAAACGTCTTCCTATCCGTCCATCTGTGGACAACATAAATGTCTCAAGTGTTTATAGGGGTTTCTCCAAAACTGGTCCCAATATATCTGCCCAAATTTGAAGCCCTGCAAAATTGAATCTGATATTTGATGTTGGGGTCGTTTTCCCACTACTACGATATTGAGGATAACGATTTTCCTGTAAGGGAATCTATTCTTTGAAACTAGATCTTTAAATAAGCGGATCGTGTACAATATTTCGAAAGTAGTTTTGCGTAAATTTGCATAATACGTAGGCAATTATTTTTTAACCATTCCAGTTTTATTCTTCAATTTTTTTACGAAAAGAGCAAAGTATGTTTATCAAAATGGTGCAGGTATGATTTTCGGTGGTATCGTTCAGTTTTTGAAAATTCTAAAAGTTACAAAAAAGTATGAGTTACTGTACCGCCACTACTTTGAATAACTTTACCTTGTGACAGAAAAAGGCACACGATGATTCTAGATACAATAATATGGCGTTGGCCCTAGTTATTACAATTTCTGAAAATTTCGCTATTTAAATGTTTTTATGACGGCAATTCTCTACGTTGAAGTTTTCAATGGAAATTATCAATGAACCCGGCGATGTGATTGTAGATCCATCTGCATTTGTGAATAGAAATGTAACAGTTGTTGTGTTCAGGGCACTTCACTGTAGAGTGTCAGAATCAAAGAAGTTTCGTTAACACAGTTTAAAGCACGAGAGCTTCAAAAATATCTGCGAAGCTTTTCAATCTGCCCCCTTCACAAACTGCGCAGGATTGCAATCGATTCATTAGCAGCGACGCAAGTTTTAAGTGGCTGTTAGTCGCCCTATACCGAAAACGCCCACGCAGTTTTCGAAACCGCAAAAGCCTCGCTTTAAAGGGACTGGAAATATGGCGATTGCAAAGATATCACGATTCTAGAAGTTTAAAAATATGATATAAATGGACGATCGTGTAACGAAGGAATATGTTGAAATTTAATTTTTAAATCTATAATTATATGAATGAATAGGATATTGTGCGTAGTTACCGTTCTTAGTTAATGGCGTATTTATTACCCTTGAGTATTTTACAGACACACAAAATTTAACATGTAAATTACTAACTACTCATCATAGGGATTTAAATTCGAACTCGAGAACATTTGTGATTCATAGATTGGGATAATTTCAAATTACGTACATTTTAGAAATAAAACAAGAATAATTTATTTTTATTTCTTACAAAAGACAAGTAATTTTTCTTTTCATGGAATGTTATAACACACGTGATAATTCAAACAATAAATAAATAAATAAATATTGCAATAAAATACTGTTCTAAATTAACACTATTAATTTCGTGATTGCACAATGACAGTATAAGAAGACAGAATGCAGAAAAGCAATTGCGCAAAACTATACGTATGAATGCCTACTGATCACTTTTCTCTCATTGTTCTTTAAAACACTACGTTAGGGTATTTAGCCATAAAGAAAAAGGGGCTAACATTTCAGTAGAACCAGAGATGAATCGCCAGGTATGATAATTGCGTGACGCACGATGAATGAAGAGCAGTAAGTGTTTCCGAGCAGCCAGTGAATTGGAGTGGTCCTGCGCATGCAGGCAACGCGGTCCTAATGAATGGGTATTGCGTCACTTCCTGTCCGGAAGAACCGCCTTCTCTGCCACTCCCTCCCCCCTTCCGCCGCAGTCCACTCGTACTCGTTCCCCTCTCCACGCTTTGGGTTGCTAGTGCCCGATGCGTCCCTCCCTACTCCTCTTCATCCATCTCACTGGGGGGCATAGAGGCCGTGGTCATGACTCCCTCATAAGACTTGGAGTTTTAGTTTACCTTCCTTTATTTGGCTTAATTGCTTTAAATATATATATATATTTATATATATATATATATATATATATATATATATATATATATATATATTCGAATTATGTAATTATTTAAACAATAATATTGCATAGTATCATATCTAAAGTACATTAATAATATGCAATATAGTAGCATATATGTTTATAGTTTAACAACAATCTACGATCCCCCCCCCAAATGATCGGCTCGATCAGCCCCTGATCCACCCCGGCCACATCCCCTCCTCGCCCGGAGCTACTGGGGTGCTCGATTCTCAAAATCAAAACGTCTATGTTAAACCATATTGACCTAACACCATCGATGTTATCAAAACCCTTTGTTTTTAAACTGCATTAGTATCCATTGAAGATTACGTGGGATGAACTTAAATTGAAAGTGATATCGTTTATTCTGAGATTTGTCTGTCAAATCAAAGTCAACAAATCATCACGATAGTTAACAAAATTTTAATTATCGGGATCGATAATTCGAAAATACAAGACATCGATATTAAAAACATAGACTTAAGATATGTTATATATTTTTCCCGATTTCATAAGAATATCGATGTTTTGTAAACTTCGACATCAATATCGCATCCTTAACATTGACAGTTGATTTGATTTAATTATTTCGTGTTTTGGGTCGCTTCAAATTTTATGGTCATTAGTGTAGCTATGATATGTCCCGTTAGTATAGTGCGTGTTATAATCACAAGAAATGGGGGTGTACATTCCTCGCTGAATGGTGTGATCCAACGGCGACCTCCTCGTCGACTCGCACCGCCCCATCCGGAACAAACTCTATGCTCCAGACAATTCTCCCGATGTGTGTAGTAGTGTAGAACGTGTAAGTGTAAGGAAGGAGGATTGGCAAGGAAAATAAATGAAAGATCGCGCGGGGTCCCTGGCCCGTGTGTTAGGGTACTGCTTCGGCATTCGTTTCGTATTGATGGGAGAAACCACGGAAAACTACCATTCAGAGCACCAAATCGCTACAATTATTTTCCAGAGAGCCAATTCAACCTAGCTAACTAGCTAGTACTGAAACACCTGCCACCGTCGGACCTCAAAGCCTAGGACCTACCGGCTAGGGCTACTGAGGAACATCATGTAATCGTAATGCCCTGAACCACGATTATTTTCATCCGTTATGACTGTTATGATATATATATATATATATATATATATATATACACACACACACACATTTGTGTTCAAATACATACATCTTGATTAGCGTGGTCAGTCAGGACAGTCAAACTTTGATGAATAAAAAAATACGGTTCGGTAGTCTCATACATGTAGTTTTCATTGATACATTCGAACATGTCAAAACTAAACTGGAGATGCGTAAACGTTATTACAAATATGAACTAGGTCAACCTGAGAGGCCTACAGAGGTGAACACAGGGGAGACATGTTCTTTGGCTCGCAATAGTTTACATTAAAAGTAAAACATACGACGTAATTAGAAGGATAATTGATCTTTGTTTGGAGAATTCGTTCCTTTTCATATTTTGGACGTCCGGCGTGATCACGATATATTTTGAGTTTTGTTCAATTGGAGTATCGAATATAAACATAATTTATTTTCTGAGTTCGTAATTTGTATGGACAGAACTTATAAATCTTGCAGTTGTAAATGTCTTCTTTTGATGTTGATAACTTTTGAAGTTCACCAACATTAACTATTTATGCAAATATGTTTCAAAAATAAAATGAAATCTTTCAATTATTTCTACGAAGCAATAATTTTTCAGGTGATTCTTCGTTAAGAATGACAAATTCTCATCAAGAATTGGGGTTTGTAGTAAACTTTTTCCTCTTACTAAAGCATTCGTAAGCAGAGTTGAAAAAAGTAGAATTCTTTAAGAGTAATTTTTTTACTAGAATTCTTTGAGTCGTCGCACGTTAACGCTTGACGTTGCGTCACGGAAAGAAACTTGATCGAAGTTGGTAACTCGTTTGATTAATTTTTTAGGCGCGTGGAAATTCGCGTTCAAAGTTTGGAAAGGGGATGCGCTAGACCCAGACAATAAGCGCAAAGAAGCGTTTGAAAGGAAAGTTGATGATGGGGAAATATTTAAAAAGTCCAGTTGAGAAAATCACTGCTTCTCTAGGAATATTGAAAGTGTGGAATTAGTGAGTTATGTCGGTTAGTTCTCTAACAATTCTTTTAAAACATTTCAATAAGAATACAGAACTTTTTAAATTTAGCAACATTTTAATTCTTTTTAATTTTATTTTTAATTATTTAGATGTTCTTGCGCTTGAAATTACCAAGTCCTCCTTTTCGAGATCTTTTTAAGAA